GGCCATACTTGGGGATAACCAATCACCAACTGCAACCTTTGATTTATTATCAAGGATTACTTCCTCTATCGATGAGAGACTTTTGACTGCTGCAGCAAAAAAAGGCTGAGGAAGAAATTGAACTGGCCTTGACATCTAAATTTCTTACCAGGATAGATGTTTCTGCTGGTGTGCAATTATTTATTTTGAGAGATGATGAAATACCTTGCGGATTGTTGTGTCAATGGAACGATAAATGGGAAGATAAATTGCATATTTTGGAGTGGATATTTTTGTCTTTCAGGTCCCAAAAACCAGCTCCAGGCCTGTATGAGCTTTTTGCAGACATGATTATCAAAGGTCGCAGATGCTGCCATGAGATCTTAGGCTGTGATCCTGTAACTATTGTCATACTGGTACAAAAATGGTATTTTGAGTGGTGTTTTCAAAACAACCATGAGCTGCAATCAGCCTTATCTTCCTTTACAGGTCCAATAGCACATCATTTACCTTCTCACCCTATTTTGAATTTCACTAAGAGGATTCCCCTTCAGGGGAAACAACTTTGCTCTTCTGGGCCAGTGGAAGAAGGTGTGACAGTTCTTACAGATGGGTCAGGAAGCCCTGGAAAAGCTGCTGTAGCCCGGAAGGAAGATGTGGGAATATGAAGCAATGGTTCAACAAGGGTCTCCTCAGTTAATTACGTCTCTTGTTTCACAATGTTACGGCACCAATCCCAGAGGCTCACTCCCTTTGCAAGAATGGCAAACAGATGTTACAAACGTGCCTGAATTTGGCTGTTTAAAGCATGTTCACGTTATGACTGACACCTTTCCTCATGCCACGGCTGCCTCAGCGCTGGCAGGTGAAACAGCTCGGGGTGTTATTTGTCACTTTTGCCACACCTTTTCCGTTTTAGGCATTCCATCACATGTAAAGACAGATAACGGCCCGGCGTATGTTTCAAAGAAATCACAAGAGTGTTTTTTCGTGCCTGGGGTGTTGGTTATTCCACTGGTATTCTTCATGCTTCGACAGGCCAAGCAATTATGGAACCTGCTCATGGTGTGTTGAAGCACCAGGCACAAAAACAAGAAGGGGGAATGCAGAGGGAGCCGCCTCAAGTGAGATTAGACAAAGCCGTTTTATGTGTTAAACTTTCTGCGTCCTTTACCTGACTCACAAGTGTCTCCTACACTCTATCATTTTTCACCTTTGAATTCAAAACAGCCGAACTTTCAGGAAGGTATTAAGGTACGGGCAAAAGATTAAATCACGGGAATGTGGGTTGGCCCAGCAGAATTAGAACACAGGGGGGAAGAGGAGATGCGTGTGTTTTAACAGGAAATGGCTCTCGTTGGGTCTCTGCCCGTTGTGTTAAACCTTACTTGGAGCACACAGGAAAGGACAGGATGGGTGGTTCTACAGTGAGAGCAAAATGAGCAGGCAATTGCACTGGTGATTAGGTGGATGGGACCATGGCCCCTCAAGGAATGTGTGGGAAAGATGGTAATTCGAGACAGAGTAAAGGGAGCTATAAGCTTACACTGAAAATCCAAAATTTAGGTTAGTGGGTGTTCCTTTTGTTTCTTTTCCTCCAATTCTCTTACAGAGAGGTTGGTAGCACTGAGAAATGTGTCTCATACCATTTCCTTTTGCAGGGCACCGACACTCCCAAAATAGGGGAATTTGATGTCCCTAAGGGAGAAGTGTTCCCTCCGTATAGGGGCTGAATCAGCAGCTGAACTCCACACCTTGAGCAACCAGGTTGGCTGCACAGTATGACAGCAGCAGCCAGTTGTAAAGTTGAGTGGATGCTACCTGGTTCTAAGTGGTGACCAGGCAGGTGGCTTGGTCTCTGACTCTGTGTGGGTGAAAGTTATTGGATTAGAGGTGAAGGTGCCACTCTCCTGCAAATGTGTCATCCGGAAATTGTGGGGTCTGTAACGGTATTTGAAGATCTGTTTTTATGTGCTTTGTTTGTATGTGAACCCTAAGATTGTGGAGTTGGTAGAAGTTGGTTATCCGTAAGTGAATGAAGAACAGATCCTCTGTCTGCTCGGATTTTTGCGAGGGCCCTGCACAAGTCCTCGGCAGTTGTGTTTGTGGGTCAAACACAAAAAGGGGGAATTGCAGGAAAGGCATTTTGTGCTGTTCTTGTGAGCCAGCAAAGGCCTCCTGATGATAAGGGAAGCCCTGAATCTCTCTCGAGGAAGACACCAAGGTTGTCACCATGGTGATAAGGAAAGTCCTGAATCTCTCTCGAGGAAGACACCAAGGCTGTCACCATGGTGATAAGGGAAGTCCTGAATCTCTCTCGAGGAAGACACCAAGGCTGTCACCATGGTGATAAGGGAAGTCCTGAATCTCTCTCGAGGAAGACACCAAGGCTGTCACCATGGTGATAAGGGAAGTCCTGAATCTCTCTCGAGGAAGACACCAAGGCTGTCACCATGGTGATAAGGGAAAGTCCTGAATCTCTCTCGAGGAAGACACCAAGGCTGTCACCATGGTGATAAGGGAAAGTCCTGAATCTCTCTCGAGGAAGACACCAAGGCTGTCACCATGGTGATAAGGGAAGTCCTGAATCTCTCTCGAGGAAGACACCAAGGCTGTCACCATGGTGATAAGGGAAGTCCTGAATCTCTCTCGAGGAAGACACCAAGGTTGTCACCATGGTGATGTGATGAAGAAGTTAAAAGACACGGGCTCAGGCTGGCTCACAGAATGACACGGCTCCTTATTCACCTGTTGAGAACTTTGCTTCTTTCTTACGACCAACGGGCAGTGAACAACATGCCTGTGAAGTAAATGTAAATATCTTGAAAATCAATAAAGGCAATGTGTTGTTGTAATGAATCTCTCCTGTGCACCCTTCCGATGGTGTCCTGGTGCTTTGCGCCGTGTCGCGCTCCACAGCGACGCTTGGCAGACATTTTATCTCTCAAGGACACCCCACAAGGTCCAGCAGGACCCCCTTGTGTCCCCCAGCCCTGGCGCCCACTGTTATCCTCCAAAATCCTCAGAACTGCCCGGGCTCCGACTCTCTGTTGTCACTTTAGAGCCTGAAATTCCAACGTCCACGTCCAGTAGTGAGAGTTAAACCCTGGAACTGGTGTTCTCCTCCAGCGGAGGTGCAGGGTCTGCAATTGTTAATTATTAAACTAGATTTAGCCAAACCCAGCTAAACTAAACTCATTTTCCCCCACCTGATCCTGTTCTGGTGACTTGGAACAAGGGCCTGGAGCGGCAGCACGAGGCACAAAGGCTTCCCACTGCCACAGTGGCATCTGGGGAAGGAATTCCCGCCCGTGCGGGTGGTGAGGGACCGGAACGGATTTCCCAGAGCAGCTGGGGCTGCCCCTGGATCCCTGGGAGTGCCCAAGGCCAGGCTGGGCAGGGCTTGGAGCAGCCTGGGACAGTGGAAGGGTGGCCCTGCCCAATGGCAGATGAAGAACACGATCCCTAATGTCCCTCCGAACCCAAACCACCCGGAGATTCCGTGAAAATGGGAAATGAAGCGTTCAGAGGAGAAAACCGACGTTGAAGCAGAGGATAAAGGATTAAAGCAGAGGATAAAGCAGGGCTGAGGCACCCCTCAGGCCTTAACCCATGAGGTCCCAAAGCCCATCCTGGGCCAGGACCCTCCCTGTGGCAACAGCGACATCCCAGGGGGATCCCCCAGGAATTGGGGGAAAATCCCAGAAATCCTTTATTGGCAGGACGCTGCGACGGGGCGGAATTCCAACTTTCCAGGGCAAGTTTAGGGGGAAGGAAGGAACTGAGGCAATTCCCCCCCCGGGGAATTTGGAGGAGCACAAACTGACTCCCATGGGGCTGGGAGAGCTGCTGGTGACAACAACAGGATCCCCACAGAACTGCCCCCAACTTGGGGGGCAGGAGGGGCTTTGGGGGGGGGCTCAGTGGCCCCTCCTTGTGCGTGGCCAGCTGGAGCCTGGATCTGGAGTGGGAACAGGGCCAGAATCAGACCCTGAAATCTGTGCCTGGAGAGGTCGGGGTGGGGGTCAGGGTCCTGATCCAGATACCCTTGAGGATGAGAGTGGAACTCCCCTGCTCCTAAATCCCACTGGAATTCAACTCCCATGGAGGCTGCAGATGGGACCCCTCACTCCAGATCCCAGACCCCAAGGGAGGTGCAGGTAGGACCCCCTGATCCAGAACCCAAGGGAGGTGCAGGTGGGATCCCCTTGATCCAGATCCCAGACCCCAAGGGAGGTGCAGGTAGGGACCCCCCCCCCCCCCCCACATGTTCCAGATCCCAAAGGAGATGGGACCCCCCCTATTCTAGAACTCCACTGGAATTTGTTTCACATGGAGGGCGCAGGAGGGACCCCCTGATCCAGATCCCAAGGGAGGTGAATGTGGGATCCCCCTGATCCAGATCCCAGGTCCCAAGGGAGGTGCAGGTGGGATCCCCCAGATCCCAGGTCCCAAGGGAGATGCAGGTTGGATCCCCCTGCTCTGGATCCCAAGGGAGGTGCAGGTGAGACCCCCTGATTCAGATCCCAGATCCCAGGGGAGGTGAATGTGGGATCCTCCTGATCCAGATCCCAGGTCCCAAGGGAGATGCAGGTTGGATCCCCCTGCTCTGAATCCCAAGGGAGGTGCAGGTGAGACCCCCCTGATCCATATCCCAGGTCCCAAGGGAGGCGCAGATGGGATCCCCAATCCAAATCCCAGATCCAGATCCCCCTGTTCCAGACCCAGACCCCAAGGGAGGTGCAGGTGGGATCCCCTGATCCAAATCCCAGATCCAGATCCCCCTGTTCCAGACCCAGACCCCAAGGGAGGTGCAGGTGGGATCCCCTGATCCAAATCCCAGATCCAGATCCCCCAGATCCCAAGGGAGGTGCAGGTGGGATCCCCTGATCCAAATCCCAGATCCAGATCCCCCAGATCCCAAGGGAGGTGCAGCTGGGCCCCGCCAGCCTCAGGCACGGGGCTCACCTGGATCTGCCCCAGGTGAGCTCCCAGCAGGAAAAGCAGAGCTGGAGCGGACGGAGAGCAAAGCCAAACTCTTGAAACACACGGACTCGGGATGGGGGGGCAGGGGGCAGTTCCTGGGGGTGGGAGGTGGGATGTTGCCCCGGGCAGGGCCGGGATGGACGGATGGAGCCCGTCAGGAGCCTGGGCAGGTGGGACGGGGATCAGTGCAGCCGAGGGCAGGAGCCATAAAGTGCAGCGAAGCTTCCGGGGCTCCGGGATTCCTGGGGGGCTCCAGTGTCCAGGGGGGGACATGGGGACACCGGGACACCGGGGGGGGACACGGCTCAGGAAGGACCAGCGGCGCCAGGACAGGGCCGGGTCCTTTCCCGGTTCTGTTCCTGGCTCCATTCCCGGTGCCGTTGCTGGTTTGGTTGCCAGTCCTGGTTCCGTTCCTGGATCCTTTCCTGGTGCCAGTTCTGGTTCCGTTCCTGCTTCCATTCCTGGTTCCTTTCCTGGTGCCAGTTCTGCTCTTGGTTCTGTTCCCGGTTCTGGTTCCGTTCCCGGTTCTGGTTCCGTTCCTGGTTCTGGTTCCGTTCCTGGTTCTGGTTCCAGTTCCGTTCCTGGTTCCTTTCCTGGTGCCAGTTCTGCTCCTGGTTCCGTTCCCAGTGCTGGTTCTATTCCTCATTCCTTTCCTAGTGCTGGTTCCATTCCTGGTTCCATTCCCAGTGCTGGTTTTGTTCCCAGGCCCAGTTCCAGTCCTGGTTCTCTTCCCAGTCCCGTTCCCAGGCCCGGTTCTGTTCTCAGTGCTGGTTCCATTCCCATTTCCATTCCCAGTCCTGGGCCCATTCCTGGTTCCGTTCCCAGTCCCGGTTCCGTTCCCGGTGCTGGTTTGGTTCCCAGTCCTGGTTCCGTTCCCAGTCCCGTTCCCGGTCCCGTTCCCAGTGCCGGTTCCGTTCCCAGTCCTGGTTCCGTTCCCAGTCCTGGTTCCGTTCCCAGTCCCGTTCCCAGTCCTGGTTCCGTTCCCAGTCCTGGTTCCATTCCCAGTCCCGTTCCCAGTCCTGGTTCCATTCCCGGTTCCGTTCCCAGTCCTGGTTCCGTTCCCGGTTCCGTTCCCAGTCCCGGTTCCAGTCCCGGTTCCGTTCCCAGTCCCGTTCCTGGTGCTGGTTTGGTTCCCAGTCCGTTTCCAGTCCCATTGCTGGTTCCGTTCCCATTGCCGGTTCCGTTCCCGGTGTCTCGGATCCCGCTGGGAATCTCACATGCACATCACCTGCAGCCTGAAACGAGGACGGGGAGGGTCACCTTCCACTCCTGCGGCCACGCCCCCGCTGCCCCGCCCTGCCCCGCCCTGCCCCGCCCGGCCCACCTGTCCTCCTCGATGCCGCCGCCCTCGGGGTCGCCGCTGTCGCCCTTCTCGGTGTCCCCCTCGCCCAGGTCCATGTCCAGCTCGGTCCCGGTGTCCGGCCGGGTGTAGGCGTAGCCACTGCGGGAGGGAAAGGCCAGAATTCCAGGGAATCCCCTCGGGAATGGCTCCTGGAATTCCAGGGAATTCCCTCGGGAATGGCCCCCTGGAATTTTGCAGAATCCCCTTGGGAATGACTCCTGGAATCCTGGGAAACCCCTTGGGAACGGTCCCTGGAATTTCGGGGAATCCCCACGGGGAACATTCTGGGGAATCCCCTCAGGAAGGGCCCCTGGAATTCCAGGGAACTCCCTCAGGAATCCCCCAAAGAATTGTGGGAAATCCCCTTGGGAACGGCTCCTGAAATTCTGGGGAATCCCCTCAGAATGGTCCCCAGAATTCTGGGGAATCCCCTCAGGAAGAGTCCCTGGAAACCCCTGGGGAAGAGCCCTTGGAATCCCCTGGGGAATGCCCCCTGGAATTCTGGGAATCCCCTGGGAAATGCCCCTTGGAATTTCGGGGAATCCCCATGGGAATGCCCCCTGGAATTTTGGGAATCCCCATGGGAATGCCCTTTGGAATTGCAGGGAATCCCCTGGGGAATGGCCCCCCAGAATTCAGGGAATCCCCTGGAGAATGCACCCCTGGAATTCCAGGAATCCCCTGGGGAATGCCCCTTGGAATTCTGGGAATCCCCATGGGAATGCTCTCTGGAATTTCAGGAATCCCCTGGGGAATGCCCCCCAGAATTCCAGGAATCCCCATGGGAATGCCCCCTTGGAATTCCGGGAATCCCCATGGGAACGCTCTCTGGAATTCCGGGAATCCCCATGGGAACGCTCTCTGGAATTCCGGGAATACCCATGGGAACGCTCTCTGGAATTCAGGGAATCCCCTGGGGAATGCCCCCCAGAATTCTGGGAATCCCCTGGGGAATGCCCCCTGGAATTCTGGGAATCCCCATGGGAATGCCCCCTGGAATTCCGGGAATCCCCTGGGGAATGCCCCCTGGAATTCCAGGAATCCCCCTGGGGAATGCCCCCTGGAATTCTGGGAATCCCCTGGGAAATGCCCCTTGGAGTTTCGGGGAATCCCCACGGGAATGCCCCCTGGAATTTTGGGAATCCCCATGGGAATGCCCTTTGGAATTGCAGGGAATCCCCTGGGGAATGGCCCCCCAGAATTCAGGGAATCCCCTGGAGAATGCACCCCTGGAATTCCAGGAATCCCCTGGGGAATGCCCCTTGGAATTCTGGGAATCCCCATGAGAATGCTCTCTGGAATTTCAGGAATCCCCTGGGGAATGCCCCCCAGAATTCCAGGAATCCCCTGGGGAATGCCCCCTGGAATTTCGGGGAATCCCCATGGGAACGCTCCCCGGAATTCCGGGAGTGCCCTGGGGAATGCCCCCTTGGAATTCCGGGAATCCCCATGGGAATGCCCCCTGGAATTCCGGGAGTGCCCATGGGAATGCGGCCCTGACCTGATGGAGCGGCAGGTGAAGAAGACGATCCTCTTCAGCCTCTTGTTGTAGAAGAAGTAATTGAAGGACCAGAGGCTGCCGTCCTCCCCGAAGGGATCCGAGTCCAGGTCGGGGTTGTAGCTGGGAACGGGAAAAGTTGGGAACGTCACGGGATTGGGGAAAGCGGGAACGTCACGGGATTGGGGACAGGAAAAGAGGGAATGTCACGGGATTGGGAAAAGTGGGAATGTCACGGGATGGGGCACAGGAAAAGTGGGAATGTCACGGGACTGGGGGATGGAAAAGTGGGAATGTCACGGGATTGGGGAAAGCGGGAATGTCACGGGATTGGGAAAAGTGGGAATGTCACGGGATTGGGGAAAGCGGGAATGTCACGGGATTGGGGGACAGGAAAAGTGGGAATGTCACGGGATGGGGGACAGGAAAAGTGGGAATGGCACGGGATGGGGGAAAGTGGGAATATCGCAGGATTGGGAAAAGTGGGAATGTCACGGGATTGGGGAATGGAAAAGAGGGAATGTCACAGGATTGGGAAAAGTGGGAAATGCTCGGGATGGGGGACAGGAAAAGTGGGAAAAGCCTGGATGGGATAGGGGACACGAAAAGTGGGAAAGGCTCAGGACTGGGGACAGGAAAAGGGGGAAAGTCACGGGATTGGGAAAAGTGGGAAAGCCACAGGACTGGGGACAGGAAAAGTGGGAAAAGCCTGGATGGGACTGGGGACAGGAAAAGTGGGGAAAGCCTGGATGGGACTGGGGACAGGAAAAGTGGGGAAGTCACGGGATGGGGGACAGGAGAAGTGGGGAAGTCACGGGATGGGGGACAGGAGAAGTGGGGAAGTCCCGGCATTTGGGACAGGAGAAGTGGAAAAGGCCTGGATGGATGGGAACAGGGCCGGGATCCTTTGGGAATGGCCGGGATCCCTGGGATCAGGCAGGGCCGGGATCCCTCAGGAAGGGCCAGGATCCCTGGGATGAGGCAGAGCTGGGATCCCTCAGGAATGGCCGGGATCCCTGGGATGAGGCAGAGCTGGGATCCTTTGGGAATGGCCGGGATCCCTGGGATCAGGCAGGGCCGGGATCCCTGGGATCAGGCAGGGCTGGGATCCCTCAGGAATGGCCAGGATCCCCTGGGATCAGGCAGGGCCGGGATCCTTTGGGAATGGCCGGGATCCCTGGGATGAGGCAGGGCCAGCCCCAGGTGCCCCCGTACCTGTAGATGTCGCACTCGGCCAGGCAGATCTCCTCATCCACCGCGTCCCACAGCAGCGGCTTCAGCGCCTTGAAATCCTCGCGCACGGCCGAGAAGAGGCTGCAGTTCACGGCATTTATCACCTGGAATGGGGACAGGGGACATGGAATGGGGACAGGGGACATGGAATGGGGACACAGGATTGGGGACAGGGGACATGGAATGGGGACAGGGGACACGGAACGGGGACAGGGGACATGGGATGGGGACACGGGACTGGGGACAAGGGACATGGGATTGGGGACAGGGGACACGGAACGGGGATGAAATCCTCACGCACGGCCAAGAAGAGGCTGCAGTTCACGGCATTTATCACCTGTGCCACAGAGAGGGGACAGGGGACATGGGAATGGGGACAAGGGACACGGGATTGGGGACAGGGGACATGGAATGGGGACACGGGAATAGGGACAGGGGACATGGAATGGGGACAGGGGACACGGAACGGAGACAGGGGACACGGGACTGGGGACAGGGGACACAGAACAGGGACAAGGGACACAGGATTGGGGACAAGGGACACAGAATGGGGATGAAATCCTCGCGCATGGCCGAGAAGAAGCTGCAGTTCACGGCATTCACCACCTGTGCCACAGAGGGGTCAGGGGACATGGTAATAGTGGGGGGACACAGGAAGGGGGGACACAGTAATGGGAATGTGGGACACGGGAACGGGGCTGGCCCGGGAACGGGAATTGGGATGAGGGACACGGGAATGGGAATGGGGCTGGCCCAGGAACCAGGAACCAGGGACACGGGAATGGGGCTGGCCCAGGAATGGGAGACACGAGAATGGGGCTGGCCCAGGAACAGGGGACACGGGAATGGGGCTGGCCCGGGAATGGGAATTGGGATGAGGGACACAGGAATGGGAATGGGGCTGACCCAGGAATGGGAGACACAGGAATGGGGCTGGCCCAGGAACCAGGGACATGGGAACGGGGCTGGCCCAGGAACGGGAGACACGGGAATGGGGCTGGTCCAGGAACTGGGGACATGGGAACGGGGCTGGCCCAAGAACGGGGGACATGGGAACGGGGCTGGCCCAGGAACGGGAACTGGGATGAGGGACACGGAAATGGGAACAGGGCTGGTCCAGGAACCAGGGACACGGGAATGGGGCTGGCCCAGGAACAGGGGACATGGGAATGGGGCTGGCCCAGGAACGGGAACTGGGATGAGGGACACGGGAATGGGAACAAGGCTGGCCCAGGAACCGGGGACACAGGAACAGGGCTGGCCCAGGAACCGGGGACACGGGAACGGGGCTGGCCCAGGAACCGGGGACACGGGAATGGGGCTGGTCCAGGAACGGGGGACACAGGAATGGGAACAGGGCTGGCCCAGGAATCAGAGACACGGGAATGGGGCTGGCCCAAGAACGGGGGACACGGGAATGGGAACAGGGCTGGCCCATGAACCAGGGACACAGGAATGGGGCTGGCCCAGGAACCGGGGACACAGGAATGGGAATGGGGCTGGTCCAGGACCATGCTGCCCAGGGAGGCTGTGGATTCCTCGCTCCCAGGAGCGTCCATGGCCAGGTTGGACAGAGCCCCCAGTGACTGAAGGGGCTCCAGGGAAATGACCATGGGCACAGAGTGACCCCCAGGGACAGGGAATGCTGTTTTCAGGATTGGGGATGGGGGGATATGCAGGATGGGGGGATGTGGAGGATGGGGGGATATGCAGGATGGGGGGATATGCAGGATGGGGGGATGTGGAGGATGGGGGGATATGCAGGATGGGGGGATATGCAGGATGGGGGGATATGGAGGATGGGGGGATGTGGAGAAGCAATTCCTGGCTCTGGAGCAGGGAAGGGATGGAAAGGACTCCCAGAGAAGCTGCAGCTGCCCCATCCCTGGCTGTGCCCAAGGCCAGGCTGAAGGAGTTTGGAGTTTGAGGGTTCCTCCTGCTCCCCGGGGTGAGTCCAGGGGATCCCACCCCATTCCATGCCCCATGCTCCGCACCCAGCTCAGGCTGGGCTCATGAGTGAACCTGTGGCTCTCCCAGTCCTGTCCCAGCCCCATCCCAGTGCTCCCAGTCCCATCCCAGTGCTCCCAGTCCCTCCTAGTCCGTACCCAGTGCTCCCAGTGCCCCCACTACCCAGTTGAGGCTGGGCTCACGGCTGAACTCGTGGCTCTCCCAGTCCCATCCCAGCCCCATCCCAGTGCTCCCAGCCCCATCCCAGTCCCATCCCAGTCCGTACCCAGTTGAGGCTGGGCTCACAGCTGAACTCGTGGCTCTCCCAGTCCCATCCCAGCCCCATCCCAGTGCTCCCAGTCCGTACCCAGTTCCATCCCAGTGCTCCCAGTCCCTCCCAGTCCGTACCCAGTTAAAGCTGGGCTCGTGGCTGAACTCGTGGCTCTCCCAGCCCCATCCCAGTGCTCCCAGCCCCATCCCAGTCCCACCCCAGTCCCTCCCAGTCCGTACCCAGTTGAGGCTGGGCTCGCGGCTGAACTCGTGGCTCTTGGCAGCGCTGAAGTCGTAGTCGGGCCGGAAGGCCTCGTTCAGGGTGGCGATCAGGTAGAACAGCGTCTTGCGGCTGCACGTGTCACTGAGCGGGCCCTCCCCCTGCCTGGGGGGACAGGAATGTCACCAGTGCCACCACAGGGACAGCAGTGCCACCACAGCATCACCAGTGTCACTGAGCGGGCCCTCCCCCTGCCTGGGGGGACAGGAACGTCACCAGTGCCACCACAGGGACAGCAGTGCCACCACAGGGACACCAGTGTCACCACAGTGTCACCAGTGCCACCACAGGGACGCCAGTGTCACCACAGCGTCACCACAGGGACAGCACATCACTGAGCGGGCCCTTCCCCTGCCTGGGAATGTCACCCGTGTCACCACAGGGACACCGGTGTCACCACAGCGTCACCAGTGTCACCACAGGGACAGCAGTGCCACCACAGGGACACCGGTGTCACCACAGCATCACCAGTGTCACTGAGCGGGCCCTCCCCTGCCTGGCGGGGACAGGAATGTCACCAGTGTCACCACAGGGACAGCACATCAATGAGCGGGCCCTCCCCAGCCTGGGAATGTCACCAGTGTCACCACACAGACACCGGTGTCATCACAGCATCACCAGTGTCACTGAGTGGGTCCTTCCCCAGCCTGGCAATGTCACCCGTGTCACCACAGGGACAGCACATCACTGAGTGGCCTCTTCCCCAGCCTGGCAATGTCACCCGTGTCACCACAGGGACACCAGTGTCACCACAGCATCACCAGTGTCACTGAGCGGGCCCTCCCCTGCCTGGGGGGACAGGAATGTCACCGGTGTCACCACAGGGACACCAGGCGCACCGGGGGACAGCAGCGCTCCTGGGGCCGATCCCAAAATTCCAGAGCTGCCCCTGGGGCTGACCCCAAACTCCCAGCGCTGATCCCAGAGATCCTGGGGCTAATCCTGGGCCTGATCCCAGAGATCCCGGGCTAATCCTGGGGCTGGATCCTGGGGCTGATCCTGGGGCTGATCCCAGAGATCCCAGGCTAATCCTGAAGCTGATCCCAGAGATCCCGGGCTAATCCTGAAGCTGATCCCAGAGATCCCGGGCTAATCCTAGGGCTGATCCCAAACTCCCAGTGCTGATCCCAGAGATCCCAGGCTAATCCTGGGGCTGATCCCAGAGATCCCAGGTTAATCCTGGGGCTGATCCCAGTGACGATCCCACCATCCCAGTGCCTGCCCCACCATCCCAGTGCCCACCCCATGATCCCAATGCCCACCCCACAATCCCAGTGCCCACCCCACGATCTCAATGCCCACCCCATGATCCCAGTGACGATCCCACCATCCCAATGTCCACCCCACGATCCCAGTGCCCACCCCACGATCCCAATGTCCACCCCACGATCCCAATGCCCACCCCACGATCCCAATGCCCACCCCACGATCCCAATGCCCATCCCATGGCCCCGGTGCCCACCCCAGTTTCCCAGTACCCATTCCAGTTTCCCAGTGCCCCCAATCCCAGTGTTCCCAGTGCCCAGTTTCCCAGTGTTCCCAGCTCCCCCAGTCCCAGTGTTCCCAGTGTTCCCAATGTTCCCAGTGCCCATCCCGGTGTTCCCAATTCCCACCTGCCGGGGCTGAGGCCTGAGCTCTGGAACGGGCTCAGGTCCTCCAATGTTCCCAGTGTTCCCAGTGCCCCCAATCCCAGCATTCCCAGTGCTCCCAATCCCAGCGTTCCCAGCATTCCCAGCGTTCCCAGCATTCCCAGCATTCCCAGTTTCCCCAGTTCCCACCTGCCGGGGCTGAGGCCGGAGCTCTGGGGCGGGCTCAGGGCCCCCAGTTTCCCCAATCCCAGTGTTCCCAGTGTTCCCAATCCCAGCGTTCCCAGCGTTCCCAGTGCCCCCAATCCCAGCATTCCCAGCGTTCCCAGCATTCCCAGCATTCCCAGCATTCCCGATTCCCACCTGCCGGGGCTGAGGCCGGAGCTCTGGGGCGGGCTCAGGGCCCCCAGTGTTCCCAGTGCCCCCAATCCCAGCATTCCCAGTGTTCCCAGTGCCCCCAATCCCAGCATTTCCAGTTTCCCCAATCCCATCATTCCCATCATTCCCAGCATTCCCAGAATTCCCAGTTCCCACCTGCCGGGGCTGAGGCCGGAGCTCTGGGGCGGGCTCAGGGCCTCCAGCGCGTGGGGCTGCCCCTCCTGGCAGAACTGCTTGAAGAGCTGCTTGTCAATGCCGGCCAGCTTGCACGAGTAGCTCTCGATCCTGCCCGGGGACCCAAAAACACACTCAGAGACCCCAAAAACCCTCCCAGGGATCCCAAAAACCCACTCAGAGACCCCAAAAACACACTCAGAGACCCCAAAACCCTCCCAGAAATCACAAAAACACACTCAGAAATCCCAAAAACACACTCAGAGACCCCAAAAACACACTCAGAGACCCCAAAACCCTCCCAGAGACCCCAAAAACACACTCAGAGACCCCAAAAACACACTCAGAGACCCCAAAAACCCTCCCAGAGACCCCCAAAACCCTCCCAAAGATCCCAATAATCCTCCCAGAGATGCCAGAAACCCTACCAGGGATCCCAGGAACCCACTCAGAAATCCCAAAAACCCTCCCAGAGACCCCCAAAACCCTCCCAGGGATCCCAAAAACCCTCCCAGGGATCCCAAAAACCCTCCCAGAGATCCCAGAAACCCTCCCAGAGATCCCAAAAACCCACCCAGGGGATCCCAGAGATCCTAAAAACCCACCCAGGGGATCCCAGAGATCCCACAAACCCTCACAAAGATCCCAGAAACCCTCCCGGGGGGATCCCAGAGATCCTAAAAACCCACCCAGGGGATCCCAAACCCCCCCCCAGGGGGATCCTTGTCCATCCCATCCAGCTCGCACGAGGAGCTCCCGATCCTGCCAGAGATCCCAGCGCTGGAGTGATCCCAAAAACCCTCCCAGAGATCCTGAAACCCCTCTCAGAGACCCCAGAAACCCTCCCAGGGATGCCAGAAACCCTCCCACAGATCCCAAAAACCCTCCCAGGGATCCCAAAAACCCTCCCAGGGATCCCAAAAACCCACCCAGGGGATCCCAGAGATCCCACAAACCCTCACAAAGATCCCAGAAACCCTCTCAGAAATCCCAAAAACCCTCCCAGAAATCCCAAAAACCCACTCAGAAATCCCAAAAACCCACCCAGAGACCCCAAAAACCCTCCCAGAGATCCCAAAAACCCACTCAGAGATCCCAAAAACCCTCCCAGAGACCCCAAAAACCCTCCCAGGGATCCCAGAAACCCACTCAGAAATCCCAAAAACCCTCCCACAGATCCCAAAAACCCTCCCAAAGATCCCAAAAACCCACTCAGAGACCCCAAAAATCCACTCAGAAATCCCAAAAACCCTCCCAGGGATCCCAAAACCCTGCCAGAGATCCCAAAAAACCCACCCAGGGGACCCCAGAGATCCCAAAAACCCTCCCAGGGATCCCAAAAACCCTCCCAGAGATCCCAAAAACCCACTCAGAAATCCCAAAAACCCACTCAGAAATCCCAAAAACCCACTCAGAAATCACCAAAACTCTCCCAGAAATCCCAGAAACCCTCCCAGAGATCCCAAAAACCCACTCAGAGACCCCAAAAACCCTCCCAGAGATCCCAAAACTCCACCCAGGGGATCCCAGGAACCTTCCCAGTGGATCCCAGGGGATCCCAGGACCCCTCCCTGGGGATCCCAGAGCCCCCCAGAGCCTTTTCCAGGGTTTTTTCTGGGAAAGCTGCAGAAGGGTTTGGGGGTAACGGCTGCAGGGACGGGAAACAGGGAATGGCTTCCCAAGGAATACTGTGATGGGATTTTTGGGATGGCATTCCCGGAGAATCCAGGGCTGCTCCAGCCCTGGAACAGCTGTCCCAGCATTCCCAGGTTCCTGAATTTCAAAGGAACAGCACTGCCAGGTTTCCTGGGGCAGCATTCCCAGATTCCCAGGGACAGCATTCTCAGATTCCTGGGTTTCAAAGGAGCAGAATTCCCAGATTCCCAGGGTAGAATTCCCAGAGCTTTTCCCAGGACAGAATTCCCAGATTCCTGGGTTTCAAAGGAGCAGCATTCCCAGATTCTCAAGGACCGAATTCCCAGATTCCCAGGGACAGAATTCCCAGATTCCCGGAGCTTTTCCAGGGACAGAATTTCTGGATTCCCAGGGCAGCATTCCCGCTGCGTTCCCGGGTTCCATGGGGACGGAATTCCCAGATTCCCAGGAAAGAATTCCCAGGTTTCATGGGGTAGCATTCCCAGATTCCTGAGGACAGAATTCCCAGATTCCCAAGGCTTTTTCAGGGACAGAATTCCCAGATTCCAGGGCCAGCATTCCCAGATTCCTGGGGACAGCATTCCTGGTGTTCCCTGTGTTCCCAGGGCAGCATTCCCAGATTCCTGGGGCTTTCCAGGGACAGCATTCCCAGATTCCCAGGAACAGCACTCCCAGATTCCCAGAGCTTTTCCAGGGCAGCATTCCCAGATTCCAGGGCCAGCATTCCCAGATTCTCAAGGACAGAATTCCCAGATTCCCAGGGCAGCATTCCCAGATTCTCAAGGACAGAATTCCCAGATTCCTAGAGCTTTTCCAGGGGCCAGCACTCCCAGATTCCTAGAGCTTTTCCAGGGCCAGCATTCCCAGATTCCCAGGAACAGCACTCCCAGATTCCCAGAGCTTTTCCAGGGGCAGCATTCCCAGATTCCAGGGCCAGCATTCCCAGATTCTCAAGGTCAGCATTCCCAGATTCCCAGAGCTTTTCCAGGGCCAGCATTCCCACATTCCTGGGACTGAACTCCCAGATTCCCAGGGCAGCATTCCCAGATTCTCAAGGACAGAATTCCCAGATTCCCGGGCCAGCATTCCCAGATTCCCAGGGCAGCATTCCCAGATTCCCAGCATTCCCAGATTCCCAGATTCCCAGGGACAGCATTCCCAGATTCCCAGGCCAGCATTCCCAGGCTTCAGGGGCCCAGCATTCCCAGATTCCCAGGGGCCCAGCATTCCCAGATTCCCAGCATTCCCAGATTCCCAGGGACAGCATTCCCAGATTCCCAGGGCAGCATTCCCAGGTTTCAGGGGCCCAGCATTCCCAGATTCCCAGAGCTTTTCCAGGGCCAGCATTCCCAGATTCCTGGGACAGAATTCCCAGATTCCCAGGGCAGCATTCCCAGGTTTCAGGGGAGCAGCATTCCCAGACCTCCAGGGCCAGCATTCCCAGATTCTCAAGGACAGAATTCCCAGATTCCTGGGACAGCATTCCCAGATTCCCAGGACAGCATTCCCAGGTTTCAGGGGCCCAGCATTCCCAGCATTCCCAGATTCCCAGAGCTTTTCCAGGGCCTGCATTCCCATATTCTCAAGGACAGAATTCCCAGATTCCCGGGACAGAATTCCCAGATTCCCAGGTTTCAGGGCCTCAGCATTCCCAGATTCACAGGGCAGCATTCCCAAGTTTCAGGGGCCCAGCATTCCCAGCATTCCCAGATTCCCAAGGACAGAATTCCCAGCATTCCTGGGCCAACATTCCCAGATTCCCAGGGCAGCATTCCCAGGTTTCAGGGGCCCAGTATTCCCAGATTCCCAGGGGCCCAGCATTCCCAGATTCCCACCATTCCCAGGCTTCAGGGGCCCAGCATTCCCAGATTCCCAGTATTCCCAGATTCCCAGGGGCCCAGCATTCCCGGGTTCCCAGAATTCCCAGCATTCCCAGATTCCCAGCATTCCCAGCATTCGCGGGTTCCCAGCGCTGCCCATCCCTGACCTGCCGATGATGTGGGCGTCTCCGGTCTCCACGGTCAGCTGGGAGTTGATGGCCTCGAAGCTGGAGTTCTCCAGCAGCTTCATCCTCCCCTCCAGGGGAAATTCCCGGGGAAATTCCCGGTGCTGCAGCCTCCCGAGATTCCCCCGTGCAGCAGCTGAGCCCCAGAGACAGCGGGGAGGGAATGGGGAACGTGAATTTTCTGGGAGTGGGAAACTGGGGAGGGAGAGGGAGGGGAAAACGCAGGAACGGGAATGGGAAATAGAGAAATGGGAATGGGAGAGGGAAAAAGAAAATACAAAAAACGGAAAGGGAAAAAGAGAGAAAACGCAGAAATGAGAGTGGAAATAAGAAAGGCGGAAATGCAGGAATGGGAAGGGGAAAAGGAAAACGAGAAAGGGGAAAATTCAGAAGTAGCAAAAGGGGAAATGCAGGAATGGGAAAGGGAAAAAATGGGAGTGGAAATGGGAAAGGGAAAGGGGAAAGAGGGAAAAACTGAAGAAACGGGAAAGAGGAAAAGAAGGAAAATTCAGAAATGGGAATGGGAACGGGAAAGGGAAAAATGAAAAAACAACAGAAAGGGAAAACGAAAGGAGGAGGAAGAGGAAGTGGAGGAGGAGGAAGAGGAGCTTCAAGCGGAGCTGGCAGCGGCACCGCAAAGTGGGAAAAGGTGACAGGCGGAGCGGGAGAAGCAGAGGGGGAGGAGGAAGAACAAGAGAAGGGAAAAAAGGAGGAAAAGGAGGAAAAAAAGCGGGAAAAGGACGCGGAAAATTCTGCCCCAGTCCCGGGCGGCGCCACAGGAAGTGGTGTCCCGGCGTGCACCGCGCGCTGGACTACAGCTCCCGGCATGCCCCGCGCGGAACATAGCCGCGATCCATTGGCGGACTACGGCTCCCGCCATGCTCCGCGCGAACGGCCCGGCTAAGCCATTGCTGGACTACTGCTCCCATCCTGCCGCGCGGCTGCGCGCGGTGCAAAGCCGCGCCTGGGCGGCGCGAGGCACTCTGGGAGCTGTAGTCCGCGCGGCTTGTGGGCGCGCAAAGGAAGGGGCGGCGGGCCGAGCGGGCTTACCGGTGCGTCCTGCTACCTATCGGTGCCTCTTCGCCGTGGCAGCGCCTTCAGGCTCGGGGCGCGTGTAAAGGGAGGCGTCTCCGGGGAAAGCTCGAGGAGGGCGAGTGTGCCGCGGCCGCCGTCCGCCGTCTGGCGCCGGCCCACCGGGCCTCCGCCCACCTCGACATGTCCCCGAGTGCTCGGGACGGTGCGAGCGGCTGAGCGAGATCCTGGGAGTCCCCCGGAGCGAGCGAGCGAGCGGGCGACCTTCTCCTGCGGCACCGGACGGCAACAGCGGCGGCACCGCCCCGCCTACGCCCGCCCTGCCCGAGAGGCGCCCGCGGCCCGCGATCCCATTGGCGACAATACCCGTCAATCACCGCCACGCCCACCTTTTATTGGCTGACACCAACGTCAATCCGCGCAGAGCCCGCGGCCCCGCCCACCGCGGGGGCGCTCGGCTCCCCTATTGGCTGGCGCGGACAAAGACGGGGGGAGCGCCTGTCAATCACAGCGGGGCGTGGCCGGGAGGGCGCGGCCATGGGCGTGGCCACGACGGAACGCTCCTCCCCCGGAACTCCCGCGCGCTCGGTCGCGTTTCCCGCCCGCTCCCCCGGAGGGGACCCCGTTGTCGACCGGACCGCGCGGGCGGGAGGCCGGAAGTGGCGGGGCCGCCATGGCGGCGCCCGGAGCGCCCGGGCCCGGCCCGGCCGCCGCCGCCTTTGCCACGGTGCTGATGGCGGCCCGGGCCGAGCTGGCCGCGCCCTGCCGCCTGCTGCCCGCCGCCGCCGCCGGCGCCGCGCTCCGCCTGCAGCTCAGCGTGCAACCGGGAGCCGACGGGCGGCGCCGCTTCCGCCTGGCGCTGCGGCGGGCGGAGGCGGGGGGCGGCGCGGTGAGGGGAAGGGGAGGGGGCGGGGGAGGGGCCCGGGGGGCGCCCCGGGGGTCGGGGGGAGGGGAGGGGGCGGGGAAATGGGGGGTTGGGGGGCGCGGCCCGAGAGCCCGGAGGGAACGGGGGGGGGGAACCGGGTTTGACCTGGGGGCGATCCGGGATTGGGGGCCAGGGATTGTCCCCCCGGGATTGTCACCGTGGGATTGTCCCCCGGGATTGTCTCCCTGGGATTGTCCCCCCGGGATTGTCCCCTGTGATTGTCACCATGGGATTGTCCCCTCGGGATTGTCACCATGGGATTGTCCCCCCGGGATTGTCTCCCCCCGAGGGGCCAGGGGGTCCCTGGAGGGTCCCGGGCTTTGGGGAGTCCTGGGAGGTTTGGGAAGGGCAGGAACCCTGGGATTGTCCCGTGTCACCCCCAGCCAGGGACAAGGGACAGGGACAGGGACAGTGAGAGGCTCAGGGCACCCCGAAAGTGAGCAGAACCCTTCCAAAGTGGCCAGGGGCACCCTGAGGGTGGTCTGAGGGCACCCAAAGTGTCCCAAGGGTGACCAGGGCACTCAAAGGGGTGACCAGGGGTGACCGTGGGTGACCAGGGGACCCCAGGGGTGACCGGGCTCTCCCAGTGGGTCAGGGGGTGACCCGAGCCTGTGGTGACCCCATGGTGACCCCACACCTGTCCCCTCCTGTCCCTGTCCCCATCCCTGTCCCCTCTGTCCCCATCCCTGTCCCATCCTTGTTCCTGTCCCCTCCTGTCCCCATCCCTGTCCCTGTCCCCTTCTGTCCCATTCCTGTCCCCATCCCTGTCCCTGTCCCATCCCTGTCTCTGTGTCCCTGTCCCCATCCTTGTCCCATCCCTATCCCTGTCCCATCCCTGTCCCATCTTTTCCCATCCCTGTCCCCATCCCTGTCCCCTCTGTCCCTGTCCCCACTGTCCCTGTACCCTCCTGTCCCCATCCCTGTCCCATCCTTGTTCCTGTCCCCTCCTGTCCCTGTCCTTGTCCCCTGTGTCCCTGTCCCATCCCTGTCCCTGTCCCATCCCTGTCTCTGTCTCCTCCTGTCCCCTCTGTCCCTGTCCCCACTGTCCCTGTCCCCATCCCTGTCCCTGTCCTTGGTCCATCCCTGTCCTGTCCCTGTTCCATCCCTGTCCCTGTCCCCTCCTGTCCCTGTCCCCATCCCTGTCCCTGTCCCATCCCTGTCCCCTCTGTCCTTGTCCCCTGTTGTCCCTGTCCCATCCCTTTCCCTGTCCCATCCCTGTCCCCTCCTGTCCCTGTCCCCATCCCTGTCCCCACTGTCCCTGTCCCCTCCTGTCCCCATCCCCATCCCTATCCTGTCCCTGTCCCCTCTGTCCTTGTCCCCTGCTGTCCCCAGCCCCTGGCAGAGTGTGACCTGCGGGACGTTTCCTACCGCGTGTGTGGCCCCGCCAGCCACGAGCTGCAGCTGCCAGCGCTGGGGACAGCAGCGGGGACAGCAGGGACAGCGCTGGGGACACCATCAGGGACAGCAGGGACACCATCGGGGACAGCAGCAGGGACAGCGCTGGGGACACCATCGGGGACAGTGGCACAGGAGGTGGTGGCACTGAGGTTCCCCGAGGAGCGCGAGGCCCAGCAGTGGTGGACGGTGCTGAGCAGCTCCCTCAGGGAGGCACGGAGAGGTGGGACAGGGACATGGGGACACTGGGGACATTGGGGACACTGGGGGGACATTGGGGACACGGTGCTGAGCAGCTCCCTCAGGGAGGCACGGAGAGGTGGGACAGGGACATGGGGACATTGGGGACACTGGGGACATTGGGGGGATTGGGGATACTGGGGACATTGGGGATATTGGGACATTGGGGTCACTGGGGACACTGGGGACACGGTGCTGAGCAGCTCCCTCAGGGAGGCACAGAGAGGTGGGACAGGGACATGGGGACATTGGGGGGACATTGGGGACACTGGGGGGACATTGGGGACACTGGGGGCACATTGGGGACACGGTGCTGAGCAGCTCCCTCAGGGAGGCACGGAGAGGTGGGACAGGGACATGGGGACACTGGGGGGACATTGGGGGGATTGGGGATATGGGGACACTGGGGATGGGGGGACATGGGGACATCAGGGACCCTGGTGACATTGGGACATTGGGGACATTGAGGGGATTGGAGACAGTGGGGACACTGGGGGGATATTGGGGACATTGAGGACACTGGGGACACTGGAGGGACATTGGGGACACTGGGGAATTGGGGACACGGTGCTGAGCAGCTCCCTCAGGGAGGCACGCAGAGGTGGGACAGGGACATGGGGACATTGGGGACATCGGGGACACTGGGGACACTGGGGGAATTGGGAATATGGGGACATTGGGGGACACTGGGGACATTGGGGACACTGTGGGGATCAGGGACATCGGGGACACTGGGGGGGACATTGGGATGTTGGGGACATTGGGGATGGGGGGACATGGGGACATCAGGGACCCTGGTGACATTGGGACATTGGGGGACACTGGGGACACTGGGGACATTGGGTGCTGAGCAGCTCCCTCGGGGAGGCATGCAGAGGTGGGACAGGGACATGGGGACGCTGAGGGGACATTGGGGACACTGGGGGGACATTGGGGACATGAGGACATTGGGGGGATTGGGGATACTGGGGACATTAGGGACATTGGGGACACCAAGGGGACACTGGGGACATTGGGGGACTTGGGGACACTGGGGACACGGTGCTGAGCAGCTCCCTCAGGGAGGCACAGAGAGGTGGGACTTTGGGGACACTGGGGACACTGAGGGGACATTGGGGGGGATTGGGGACATGGGGACATTGGGGACACTGAGGACGGGGCACAGTAGTGCCAGTGGGAAGAGTGGGGACAGCAGGGACAGTGGTGACAGCAGTGACAGCCCCGTCCCTGCCGTGCTCCCGCAGCCGCCGAGGGCGACACCACGGGGACATCGTTGGTGCCACCACCCACGGGGACATCGCTGGTGCCACCGCCCGCGGGGACATCTCTGGTGCCACCGCCCGCGGGGACATCACTGGTGCCACCACCCGTGGGGACATCTCTGGTGCCACCCGCCGAGGGTCCCGAGCAGGACGCGGAGGAGGCGCAGGTCCTGGAGCTGGCCCAGACAGGTGACACGGGGACAGGGCTGGGACACGCCAGGGACACACCAGGGACATGCCAGGGACACGCCAGGGTGGGACACACCAGGGACACGCCAGGAACTCGGGGTGGGATACATCAGGGCCACCCTGGCCTGTCCCCAAGTGCCACCTGTGCAGGGATGGCGGGGGGACAGCCCTTCCCAGGGGACATTCCCTGAAATGCCCCCAGAACCTCCCCTGGGGTCACCTCCTGTCCCCACGGTGTCCCCACGGTGTCCCTGGGCCGGGCCAGTCCTGCCCCGGGGCTGGGGGTGCCACCCAGCAGTGTCACCCTGGTGTCCCCCATGCCCGCTCTGAGGAGTTGGGGGTGTCACCCCCAGTGTTCCCAGTGTCCCCCATGTGTCCCCATGCCTGCTCTGGGTGCCATCCCCGTGTCCCCTGTGTGTCCCCTGTGTGTCCCCGTGTGTCCCTGTGTGTCCCTGTGTGTCCCCGTGTGTCCCCATGCCCACTCTGGGTGCCATCCCCGTGTCCCCATGTCCCCAGAGGAGCTGGCCCTGCGGCTGGCCGAGGCCATCACCTTTGGGGACGAGGCGGTGGCAGCGCAGAGCGCGGTGGCGCTGGCCCGGCGGCACGCGGAGCTGAGCGTGAGCCTGCGCCACAGGGACGCGCCCGGGGGCCACCTCAGGTGGGGAGCCTGCCTTGCCTTCCTCAGCATCACCATCCTCATCGTCATCCTCATCCCCGTCCTCTGGCCCTGCCTTCCTCGTCATCCTCATCCTCTGCCTTCCTCATCACCCTCATCATCCTCATCGCTGTCATCCTCATCCCCGTCCTCTGCCTTCCTTATCGTCCTCATCCTCTGCCTTCTTCATCATCCTCATCATTGTCATCCTCATCCCTGTCCTCTGCCCCTGCCTTCCTCATCCTCACCACCCTCATCATTGTCATCCTCATCCCCTTTTCTCTACCTTTCTCATCATCCTCATCCTCAACATCTTCATCTCCATCCTCTGCCTTCTTCATTTCCGTCGTCCTCATCACCTCATCATAGTCATCCTCATCCCCATCCTCTGCCCCTGCCTTCCTCATTCTCATCATCCTCATTACCCTCCTCCCCATGCTCTGCCTTCCTCAGCATCATCATCATCATCATCATCATCCTCATCCCTGTCTTCTGCCTTCCTCATTCTCATCACCCTCATCCTCATGCTCTGCCTTCCTCCTCATTATTGTCATCCTCGTCTCCCCATTCTCTGCCCCTGCCTTCCTCACCATCCTCATCCTCTGCCTTCCTCATTGTCATCATCCTTATCCCCATTGTCTGCCTTCCTCATCATCATCGTCTGCTCTTGCCTTCCTCATCTTCATCATCCTCATCTTCATCCTCATCCTCTGCCCCTGCCTTCCTCATCAACATCATCCCGTTACCTCCCGTGTTCCCAGCATGCCAAACCCCAATCCCAAACCCATATCCCATATCCCATATCCCATATATCCCATATCCCATATCCCATTATCTCTCCCCATTCCCAGCATGCTGTACCCCACACCCCAAACCCCATACCCCATATCCTACGTCCCCAATCCCAAACCCCCATCCCATTATCTCTCCCCATTCCCAGCATGCCATACCCCAATCCCAATCTCCAAACCCCAATCCCAAACCCCAAACCCCAATCCCATTATGTCTCTCCCCCTTCCCAGCATGCCGTACCTAAACCCCAAACCCCACACCCCAAATCCCAAACACCAATCCCATATCCCAAATCCCAGATCCCATTATCCCATATCCCATATATCCCATTGTCTCTTCCCCATTCCCAGCATGCTGTACCCAAACCCCAATCCCATATATCCCATATATCCCATATATCCCATATATCCCATATATCCCATATATCCCATATATCCCATATATCCCATTATCTCTGCCCCATTCCCAGCATGCTGTATCCCAAACACCAATCCCATATCCCAAATCCCAAACCCCATACTCCAAACCCCATATATCCCGTTATGTCTCTCCCCCTGGTTCCCAGCATTCCGTACCCACACCCCACAAACCAATCCCATATTCCATATACCATATCCCACACCCCAAAACCCAATCCCATATATCCCATTGTCTCTCCCCCTGGTTCCCAGCATGCCGTACCCCAATCCCCAGTCCCAAATTCCAATCCCATATCCTGCACCCCATATCCCATATCCCAATCCCAAACCCCAATCCCATATATCCCATATATCCCATATATCCCATATATCCCATATATCCCATTGTCTCTCCCCCTGGTTCCCAGCATGCTGTACCCACACCCCACACCCCAAACCCCAATCCCATATATTCCATATATCCCATATATCCCATATATCCCATATATCCCATATATCCCATATCCTAAATCCCAAATCCCATATATCCCATATCCCATTATCTCTCCCCCTGGTTCCCAGCATGCCGTACCCACACCCCTAACCCCAATCCCATATATCCCATATATCCCGTATATCCCAGCATGCCAGTGGGGGTGGAGGACGCCACATCCTCGGCCAGCATCACCCTGCGGGTGCAGCCCCACATCACCATCGGCACCCTCAAGGAGCAGGTACGGACACCTGGGGACACCTGGGGCCACCCGCGGGTCAGCTGGGGCCACCTGGGGTCAGCTGGGGTCATTCGAGACCACTGAGGTTGTCCAGGATCACCTGGGATCACCTGGGACCACCTGGGACCACCTGGGGTCACCCAGGATCACCTGGGGTCACCTGGGGGGAATGGGGTCACCTGGGAGCCAGGCCAGCTCCTGCTCTGCGGGACCAGGATCCCTGGGGTGTCACCTGGGATCTCACCTGGGGTTTTACCTGGGGTCCCATATGGGATCTCTCCCGGATCTAACCCAGGGCTCACCTGAGGCTCACCTGGAGCTCCCCTGGGATCTCCCCTGGGGTTTTTGTCTGGGAGCTCCCCTGGGATCTCCCCCAGGATGTCCCCTGGGATTGCCCCCAGGCTCTCCCCAGGATCTCCCCCAGGATCTGCCCAGGGTTCCCTCAGCATCCCCCAGGATCTCCCTGGGATCTCCCAGGATTTCTCCAGGTTCTTCCAGGATCCCCCATGGGATCCCCGCCAATCCCTTGTGATCCCTGATCCTCCAGGTGTTCCATGAGTAGGCGTTCCCCCCTGATCCTCCCTGATCCCATAGGATCCCCCCCGATCCCCCAGGTGTTCCACAGGTACAGGTTCCCTTGTCCCCCCAATCCCATAGGATCCCCCTGATCCCCGCAGGTGTTTTGGTTGTACAGGTTCCTCCTGAACCCATAGGATCCCCCTGATCCCGTATGATCCCCCCTCATCCCCAGGTGTTCCACAAGTACAGGTTCCCCCCAGATCCCATAGGATCCCCCCCGATCCCCTCTGATCCCTCAGGTGTTCCATGGGTACAGGTTCCCCTTGTGCCCCCAATCCCATAGGATCCCTGTCCCTGCAGATGTTTTGGGTGTACAGGTTCCCCCTGATCCCATAGGATCCCCCCGATCCCCCGTGATCCCCCCGATCCCCAGGTGTTCCGCGAGTATGGGTTCCCGCCCTCGGCGCAGCGCTGGATCATCGGGCAGAGCCTGTGCCGGGACGGGCGCAGCCTGGCCTCCTACGGCATCCGCCGCGACGGCGACCCCGCCTTCCTCTTCCTCCTCTCGGCACGGCCGCCGCCGGAACCGGCACCAGCACCGGGAGCGGCCCCGGGAGCGGCCCTGGGAGCAGCAGCGGGAGCGGCCCCGGCCCCGGGAGCGGCCCCGGCCCCGGCGGGCCCCGAGCGGCAGCGGGAGCTGCAGGCGCAGGAGCTGCTGCGCGCCACGGGGCTGCACGGGGACGGGGACGGACACGGGGATGGAGCGCCGGGAGCAGGTACGGGGCTGGAGCCTTCCTCAGCATCAGCCTCAGCCTGTTCCTTCCTCATCATCATCCTCAGCCTGCTCCTTCCTCAGCATCCTCAGCCTGCTCCTTCCTTATCATCCTCAGCCTGCTCCTTCCTCATCATCATCCTCAGCCTGCTCCTTCCTCATCATCATCCTCAGTCTACTCCTTCCTCATCATCGTCCTCAGCCTGCTCCTTCCTCATCATCATCCTCAGCCTGCCCCTTCCTCACCATTCTCAGCCTGCTGCTGCTTCTGCTCCTTCCTCATCATCCTCAGCCTGCTCCTTCCTCAGCATCATCCTCAGCCTGCTCCTGCTCCTGCTCCTTCATCATTGTCCTGCTCCTTCCTCATCATCATTCTCAGCCTGCCCCTTCCTCACCATCATCAGCCTGCTGCTCCTGCTTCTGCTCCTTCCTCATCATCCTCAGCCTGCTCCTTCCTCACCATTCTCATGGTGCTGCTCCTGCCCCTTCCTCATTGTCCTCCTTCATCATCCTGCTCTTGCTTATTTCTCCTCTTGCTGCTCTTGCTCTTGCTTCTTCTTCATCATCCTCATTCCTGCTACTCCTGCTCCTGCTTGTTTCTCATCCTGCTGCTCCTGCACTTTCCTTACCTGGCTCAGGTACGGCTGACAGAGCCTTTGTCACCATCCTCCTGTCCCTTCCTCCTCACCCTCATCTTCCTCCTGCTTCTCTTGCTTCCTCATCCTGTTCCTTCCTCCTCATCCTCACACTATTCCTGTTTGTTTTTCATCATCCTCCTCCTCCATCACCCTCCTCCTCCTCCACCTGCTCCTGTTCCTTCCTTCTCTTTTCTCCATCTCCTTCGTCCCGTGTCCGGCTGTCCCCAGGCCGTGTCCCCGAGGAGCCCCCGGAGCGGATGGACATCGGGGACATCCGGGATCACCTGGACTCGCTGCAGCTCTGGGACAGCGCGGGGACCCCGCCCACGGGCCCTGAGCCCCGCCCACCCTCACCTGAGCAGGTACGGGGCGGGGGGGGTCCTGTCCTGATCCCCATCCCTGATCCCCATCCTGATCCCTGATCCTGATTCCAGTCCCTGATCCCAGTCCCAGTGTTTCAGGGTGGACACAGCCCCCAGGCACTGCCCACCCACACCTGACCAGGCTGTGAGATGTGCCCTGTTCCTGTTCCCAATCCCATTCCCAATCCCGTTCCCATTCCCATTCCCAGGCAGGCTGGCCATGCCCCCAGCCGCCTTCTCAATCCCATTCCCAATCCCAGCCCTGTTCCCAATCCCAATCCTGTTCCCATTCCCAGGCAGGCTGGCTGTGCCCCCAGCCCAAATCCTGTTCCCAATCCTGTTCCCAATCCCATTCCCATTCCCAGGGCTGGCCGTGCCTGCGGTGCACGTTCCTGAACAAGCCCACCCGGCTGGGCTGTGAGATGTGCCCTGTTCCCAATCCCAATAATTCCCAATCCCAATAATTCCCAATCCCGTTCCAAATCCCAGGGCTGGCTGTGCCCCTGGTGCACGTTCCTAAACAAGCCCACCCAGCTGGGATGTGAGATGTGCCCCGTTCCCAATCCCAATCCCAATCCCAATCCCAATAATTCCCAATCCAAATAATCCCGTTCCCAGGGCTGGCCGTGCCCCCAGTGCACGTTCCTGAACAAGCCCACCCGGCCGGGCTGTGAGATGTGCAGCGCCCCCCGGCCCGAGGGGTACCGTGTGCCCGGGGGGCACCGCCCCGACCCCGCCGAGCTGCGGCGGCTGCAGAGGGAGCGCGACGGGACCCGGCAGTGCCAGCAGGTATGGGGGCTATGGGGTCAGTGGGATCTATGGGATATGGGATCAATGAGATATAGGGATCTATGGGATCAGCGTGACGAGACCCAGCAGTGCCAGCAGGTATGGGGGCTATGGGATATGGGATCTATGGGATCAATGAGATATGGGAATCAATGGGATCAGCGCGATGGGTCATGACAGTGCCAGCAGGTATGGGGGCTATGGGGTCAGTGGGGTCTATGGGATTAATCAATGGGATATGGGATCAGCGCGACGGGACCTGGCAGTGCCAGCGGGTACAGGGGCAGTGAGGTCAATGGGATCTATGGGATATGGGATCTATGGGATCAGTGTGACAGGACACAGCAGTGCCAGCAGGTAGGGGAATTATGGGATCTGTGGGGTATGGGATCAATGGGATATGGGATCAGTGTGGTGGGACGCAGCAGTGCCAGTGGGTATGGGGGCTGTGGCGTCAATGGGATCTATGGGATCTATGGGATCTATGGGATCAAGGCGACAGGAATGGCAGTGCCAGCAGGTACTGCTTGGGATATGGGGTCTATGGGATTTGGGATCAGTGGGATCTATGGGATCAGTGCAATGGGACCCACCAGTGCCAGCAGGTATGGGGTCACCAGGGTCAATGGGATCTATGGGATCCACGGGATATGGGATCAATGTGGTATGGGATCGATGGGGTATGAGATCAATGGGGTATGGGATTAGCGTGACAGGACACACATTTTCCAATTATTCCCATTTTCCCCATTTTTTCCCCCATTCCCAGGCGCTGGAGGCGGAGCGTCAGCAGAACCTAGTGCAGCCGCTCCCATTTTCCCATTTTTCCTGGGATTTTTCCCTATTTTTTTCACAATTTTTCCCATTTTTTCCATTTTTCTAATTTTTCCCGTTTTCCCCATTTTTTCCCCCATTCCCAGGCTCTGGAGGTGGAGCATCAGCGGAACCTGGCGCAGCTGCCTGCTCCCATTTTCGTATTTTTCCTGGGTTTTTTCCCCATTTTTTTCCCCATTTTCCCGGTTTTTCTCCCCGGGCGCCGGAGGCGGAGCGGCAGCAGAACCTGGCGCAGCTGCCTGCTCCGGTTTTCATATTTTTCCTGGGTTTTTTCCCCATTTTTTTTCCCAATTTTTCCCAGTTTTTTTCCCATTTTCTCGGTTTTTCTCCCCAGGCGCTGGAGGCGGAGCGGCAGCAGAACCTGGCGCAGCTGCTGCGGGCGGAGGAGGCGGGGCTGGTGCTGAACCCGGAGCCGCTCGAGTGCGGGATCTGCCTGCAGGAGGTGCCGGCGGGCCGGGCCGTGCTGCTGCGCGACTGCCTGCACAGCTTCTGCCGGTACCGGCGCACCGGGCACACCTGGGATACACCTGGGATACACCTGGGCACACCTGGGCACACCCGGGATAGACTGGGATACACTGGGATTCAACGGGACACACCTGGGATACACCTGGGCACACGTGGGCAACACAGGGATACAGCTGGGATAGACCGGGATACACCTGGGCACATCTGGGATACACCTGGGACACACCTGGGATATACCTGGGATACACCTGGGCACACCCGGGATAGACCGGGATACACCGGGATAGACCTGGGATACACCTGGGCACACCTGGACACACCTGGGATAGACTGGGATTCAACGGGACACACGTGGGATACACCTGGGCACATGTGGGCAACACAGGGATACAGCTGAGATAGACCAGGATACACCTGGGCACAGCTGGGCACATCTGGATAGACCTGAGATACACCTGGGCACACCTGGACACAGCTGGGATACACCTGGGATACACCAGGATAGACTGGGATACACCTGGGATACACCTGGGCACACCTGAGATACACCTGGGGGCACCTGGGCACACGTGGGCAACACAGGGATACAGGTGGGATAGACCGGGATACACCTGGGCGCATCTGGGCACATTTGGGATACACTTAGGACACACCAGGACACACCTGGGCACACCTGGGATAGACTGGGATACACCTGGGCACACCTGGGATAGACTGGGACACACCTGGGATACACCTGGGACCCTTGGGACACCCCCAGGACCCCCCACCCACCTTTGGAGTGACCCAGCCCTGGGACCCCCCCCCTCCCCATTGCCATGAGCGGTCCCAGCATCCTCCGGCCCCAGAGTGACCACTGACCCCCCCCCCATTGCAGTGACCAGCCCCAAGAGCCGCCCCGAGCCCCCCACACCACCCCAGTGACCACCCCAGTGACCACCCCAGTGACCACTCCAGTGACCACCGCAGTGACCACCCTGACACCCCCACACCACCCCAGTGACCACCGCAGTGACCACCGCAGTGACCACCCCTGACACCCCCACACCACCCCAGTGACCACCGCAGTGACCACCCCTGACACCTCCACACCACCACCCCAGTGACCATCCCAGTGACCACCCCTGACACCCCAGTGACCATCCCAGTGACCATCCCAGTGACCACCCCCACACCACCCCAGTGACCACCCCAGTGACCCCCCCGGTGTCCCTGAGCCCCCCCAGTGACCCCGAGCCCCCCAGTGACCCCCCCGGTGTCCCTCATCCCCGCCCCGGTGTCGCCGCTGTCCCCAGGGAGTGCCTGCGGCAGGTGATCAACTTCAGCGAGGAGCCGGTGGTGGCCTGTCCCTTCCGCGATGTCACCTACGCCTGCGGCAGCCACCTGCAGGAGCGCGAGATCCGCGCGGTGCGCGCCGGGAGGGGACGGGGGGACCGGGAGGGACCGAGGGGACCGGGAGGGACCGAGAGGGACCGGGAGGGGACGGGGGGGGACCGGGAGGGACCGAGAGGGACCGGGGGGGCCACAGCCACCCCCGCGCGGGGGGGCTCCCAGGGGACTGGGCTGTCCCCTGGGGTAGGGCTGGAGTCCCCAAGGTTGGGTGACAGTGACTCAGGGGGTCCCCAAGGGTGAGTGACAGTGACATCGGGGTCCCCAAGGGTGGGTGACAGTGACTTGGGGGGGTCCCCAAGGGTGGGTGACAGTGACTTGGGGGTCCCCAAGGGTGGGTGACAGTGACTCAGGGGGTCCCCATGGGTGGGTGACATTGACTCAGTGGTCCCAAAGCCACCCCTGGCGCAGGAGCTGATGACTCAGGGGTCCCCACGGAGTGAGTGACAGTGACATGGGGGCCCCCAAAGGAGGGTGACAGTGACTCAGGAGGTCCCCATGGAGTGGGTGACAGAGACTTGGGGGTCCCCAAGGCTGGGTGACAGTGGCTCAGGGGTCCCCAAGGCCACCTCTCTCATGTCCCCGTGTCCCCAGCTGCTGTCCCCTGAGGAGCCTGCATGGGGGCTGGCCCAGGGTCCCCAAGGGTGGGTGATGGTGACTCAGGGGGTCCCAGTGCCATCCCCCCCTATGTCCCCAATGTCGCAGCTGCTGTCCCCCGAGGAGCACGCGCGGTTCCTGGCGCGGGGGCTGGCGCTGGCTCAGGGTGGGTGACTCAGGGGGTCCCAATGCCATCACCCCAATGTCGCCAATGTCCCCAATGTCGCAGCTGCTGTCCCCCGAGGAGCACGCGCGGTTCCTGGCGCGGGGGCTGGCGCTGGCCGAGCGCCGCAGCCGGAACAGTTTCCACTGCCGGGGCCGGGACTGCCCGGGCTGGTGCTTCTACGAGGACGCCGTGAACGAGTTCCGGTGCCCGGTCTGCGGGGCCCTCAACTGCCTCCTGTGCAAGGTCAGCCCGGGGGGGTCCCGCGGGGGTCCGGGGGGGGTCCCGGGGGTCCCGCACTGACCCCCCCGGCCCCCCCAGGCCATCCACGAGGGCCAGAACTGCCGGCAGTACCAGGACGAGCTGCAGCTGCGGGCGCTGCACGACGCGGCCGCTCGCCAGACGCGGGACATGCTGCAGGTGGGTGCGGGGGTGCTGCAGGTGGGTGGGTGGGTGCGGGGGGGGGACTAGGGGGGGTCCGGAGGGGTCCCCGTGGCCCTGACCCCCCCTCCGGACCCCTCCCCAGACGCTGGTGCAGCGGGGCGAGGCCATGCACTGCCCCACGTGCCACATCGTGGTGCAGAAGAAGGACGGGTGCGACTGGATCCGCTGCACCGTGTGCCAGACCGAGATCTGCTGGGTCACCAAGGGACCCCGCTGGGGACCGGCGGTGAGGGGGGGACCCGGGGGGGTTTGGGGTGAGCAGGGATCCGGGGGGGGTCCTGGGGGTGTCTCGAGGGGGTCTGAGATGAGGAGGGGTCACCAAGGGCTGTGCTGGGGGTCTTGAGATGATGGGGGACCCCAGGGTGAGGGGGGACACAGAGTGACCCCAGGCATGGGGGGGACACAGAGTGACCCCAGGGTGACCCCGAGCATGGGGGGGACACAGAGTGACCCCAGGGTGACCCCAGGATGAGGAGGGGGACACAGAGTGACCCCAGGGTGAGGAGAGGGACACAGAGTGACCCCAGGATGTGGGGGGACACAGAGTGACCCCAGCTGACCCCTCCCCTGTCCCCGCAGGGCCCCGGTGACACCAGCGGCGGCTGTCGCTGCAACGTCAATGGCCAGAGGTGCCACCCCCGGTGCCAGAACTGCCACTGACCCCCCCCCGCCCCGGGGACACCGAGGGACAGACGGACAGACGGACAGAGCTGGCACCGGGCCGGAAACGCCTGAGGGCTCCGGGAGGGGCCACGTTCAACGGGGATGGAGAGAGAGGACACAGGGACAGACGGACAGGATGGACACATGGACAGAGCCAAGGATGGACACTGGGACGGCCTCGGGGCATGGAGGGGCCACCGGGGGGCCCCGGGACCCGCGGGGGGCCCAATAAAGCCACTGAGTGTCACAGGCTGGCACTGCCACCTGCGTGGGGACAGGGACACGGGGACAACCCTGCACTGCCACCCGCGTGGGGACAGGGACACAGGGACACACCTGGCATGGGGACAGGGACACCCCTGGCACTGCCACCCGCGTGGGGACAGGGACACGGGGACATCCCTGGCATGGGGACAGGGACACCCCTGGCACTGCCACCCACGTGGGGACAGGGACACGGGGACAGGGATATGGGAACGGCCCCGGTGTGGGAACAGGGACACGGGGACAACCCTGGCACGGCCACTGGCATGGGGACAGGGACACAGGGACACACCTGGCATGGGGACAGGAACAGCCCTGGCACTGCCAGCAGCGTGGGGACAGGGACATAGGGACAGCCCCAGTGTGGGGACAGGGACACAGGGATCACTTTGGCACGGCCACTGGTGTGGGGACAGGGACAGCTCTGGGATTGGGACAGGGACAATGGGGTCACCCCAGCATGGGGACAGGGATGGAGACAACGAGTGGACAGAGGTCCCTCCTGGGATGGGGACAGGGTCAGGGTCAGAGGTCACTCCCTGGCATGGGGACAGGGACAGGGTCAGGGTCAGAGGTCACTCCCTGGCATGGGGACAGGGTCAGAGGTCACTCCCAGGATGGGGACAGGGTCAGAGGTCAATCCTGGGATGGGTCAAGGGGAGCTGGCACTGAACGAGACCCCAAAGCCAGCGGGGGCTGCGGTGGGGACACGGCACCGGCACGGCCTGGGCTGGGCATGGCCTGGGCAAAGACTGACCCACAGACAGACTGACCCACAGACTGACCCATAGACTGACCCATGGTCTGACCCACAGCCTGACCCACAGACTGACCCCTGGTCTGACCCACAGACAGACCACACACTGACTGACCCACAGACTGACCACAGACTGGCCCACAGACAGACTGACCCATAGACTGACCCATGGTCTGACCCATGGTCTGACCCACAGACTGACCACAGACAGACTGACCCACAGACTGACCCATAGACTGACCCACAGACAGACTGACCCACACACTGACCCACACACTGACCAACCCAGGGCATTGGCATGGCCTGGGCAAAGACTGACCCATAGACTGACCCATGGTCTGACCTACAGACTGACCACAGACTGACCCACAGACAGACTGGCCCACAGACTGACCCACAGACTGACCCATAGACTGACCTACAGACTGACCCACAGACTGACCCACAGACTGACCCATAGACTGACCTACAGACTGACCCACAGACAGAATGACCCACAGACTGACCCATAGACTGACCTACACACTGACCCATGGCACCAGCATGGCCTGGGGACAGCCTGGGCACGGCTGGACCCACACCCCACACAGACGTAGCCCCACACCAAGGACAGACCTGGCCCCACAGCCCCAACAGACCCAGGACAGACCCAGCCCCACTCCCAGCCCCACAGCCATGACAGAGCAAGGACAGCCCCAGCCCCACACCACAGAGACCCACCCCAGCCCCAGCCCCATATCAGGGACAGACCCAGGACAGCCCCAGCCCCACTCCTGGCCCCACATCCAGGACAGCCTCAGACCCAGCCCCACAGGAAGGACAGCCCCAGGACAGCCCCATCCCCACAGGAAGGACAGACTGGCCCCAGGACAGATGGACAGACGGAGCCCTGCTCGTGTTTCTGTTCTGTGGAACCCCAGCCTTTATTCCCCCCCTGCAGCCCCGCGGGGGCCGAGGCCGGGCTCGAACACGAGGGGGGGTGGGGACCCCCCAATGCCCCTCCTGGGGGGGCTCCCCCCGTGCCGTGGGGGGGCCCGGGGGCTCGGGGGGCCCCCCCAGGGCCGATTTTGGGGTCAGGCCCTACTTGGGGGGCCGATAAACCATCTTCCTGCTCTTGAGCACCGCCCACTTGTGTCGCTTCATGTAGTACAGCAGGGGCGTCAGCAGCCCCGAGATCAGCAGCAGCTGGGGGGGACAGCGGGGTCAGGGGGGTCCTGAGCACCCCTGAGCACCCCAGAACCACCCTGAGCACCCCTGAGCCCCCCCAAGCCACCCTGAGGCCCCCCCCAGAGCCCCCAGACCCACCCTGAGCCCTCCAGCAGCCCCCCAGCCCCCCCGAAGCCCCCAGCCCTACCTTGAGCCCCCAGCCCCACCTTGAGCCTCCCCCAGCCCCCCCGAAGCCCCCAGCCCCACCCTGAGCCCTCCAGCAGCCCCCCAGCCCCACCTTGAGCCCCCAGCCCCACCTTGAGCCTCCCCCAGCCCCACCCTGAGGCCCCAGCCCCACCTTGAGCCCCCCCCAGCCCCACCCTGAGCCCCCAGCCCCATCGTGAGCCCCCCCCAGCCCCACCGTGAGCCCCTAGCCCCACCCTGAGCCCCCAGCCCCACCTTGGGCCCCCAGCCCCACCTTGAGCCCCCCCCAGCCCCACCCTGAGCCCCCAGCCCCACCTTGAGCCCCATCTTTTTGCGGTGGTCGTGCTCGGGCTCGGCCGCCCAGCGCAGGAAGGTGCAAACGTCCTTGGCAATCTGGGACATGGTGGCCGGGGTCCCTGGGCGGGCACGGGAGGAGTGAGACCCCACTGGGACCCCCGAGACCCCCAAGAACCCCACAGATACCAGTGAGAGCCTCTGAACCCCACAGATCCCACTGGGACTCCCAGACCCCAGGACCACCCCAATACCCGGTGTGGTCAAAGCCCCCAGGGACCTCCTCAAACCCCCCCAGGGCACCCCCAGCCCCCCAATCCCCTCCCAACCCCAGCAGGACCCCCCAAATCCCCCAGAACTCCCCTGCAGACCCCCCCAGGAGCCTCAGCCTCCCCTCAGACCTCCCCAAGGCCCCTTTAAGCCCCCCAGGACCCCCCAAGGCCCCCACAAGCCCCCCCAGGCCCCCGTACCGTCGTCGTACTCCAGCACCTCGTCGTAGATGGGGGGGGCCATGCCGATGGCCTGGCCAGGGAAGTAGGGGTTGTAATGGAGCCCCTCCCTCAGAGAGACCCCAGCGGGGGCGTCACAGTACCCGGTGAGCAGGGCGAACACGTAATCCTCACCCCCGTGCCTGAAGGGTTATGGGATCAATAACAGGATCAGTAACAGATCAATAATGGGATCAATAGTGGGGTCACAGTACCCAGTGAGCAGGGCGAACACGTAATCCTCGCCCCCGTGCCTGAAGGGTTAATTACAGACCAATAATGGATCAATAACGGATCAATAACAGATCAATAATGATGTCACAGTGCCCCATGAGCAGGGTGAACACGTAATCCTCACCCCCGTGCCTAAAGGGTTAATTACAGATCAATAATGGATCAATAATGGATCAATAATGGGGACACAGTGCCCCGTGAGCAGGGCGAACACGTAATCCTCACCCCTGTGCCTGAAGGGTTAATTACAAATCAATAATGGATCAATAATGGGGTCACAGTACCCCGTGAGCAGGGCGAACACGTAATCCTCGCCCCTGTGCCTAAAGGGTTAATTACAGATCAATGGGATCAATAATGGATCAATAATGGGGTCACAGTGCCCCATGAGCAGGGTGAACACATAGTCCTCACCCCCATGCCTAAAGGATTAATTACAAATCAATAACAGATCAATAATGGATCAATAATGATGTCACAGTACCCGGTGAGCAGGGTGAACACGTAATCCTCACCCCCGTGCCTAAAGGGTTAATTACAGATCAATAATGGATCAATAACGGATCAATAACAGATCAATAATGGGGTCACAATGCCCAGTCAGCAGGGCGAACACGTAATCCTCACCCCTGTGCCTAAAGGGTTAATTACAGATCAATAATAGATCAATAATGGATCAATAATGGGGACACAGTGCCCGGTCAGCAGGGTGAACACATAGTCCTCAGCCCCGTGCCTGGAAGAACCAATAATGGATCAATAATGGGATCAAAGGGGTCAGAGAACACGTAATCCTCACCCCTGTGCCTAAAGGGTTAATGAATCAATAACAGGATCAATAACAGATCAATAATGGGATCAATGGCATCACAGTACCCCATGAGCAGGGTGCACATGTAATCCTCACCCCCGTGCCTGAAGGGTTAATGGGATCAATAACTGATCAATAATGGATCAATAATGGATCAATAATGGGGTCAGAGAACACGTAATCTTCACCCCTGTGCCTGAAGGGTTAATGGGATCAGTAACAGACCAATAACGGATCAACAACACGATCAATAATGGGATCAATGGGATCACTGGGATCGGTGGGAATGGGATCCACGGGATCAATGGGATCAGTGGGGTCAATGCATTGTGGGGTGACCCCAAAGCCCCCCCGGACCCCCCAGGACCCCCCTCCCCTGGCACTGACCATGTACCTGAGGTCGGGGGCCAAGGCCCCATTGTGGGGGTGACCCCAAAGCCCCCCAGGATCCCCCAAATCCCCCTCACCTGGCATTGACGATGTAGCTGAGGTCGGGGGGCAGGGCCCCATTGTTGGGGTGACCCCAAAGCCCCCCAAGACCCCCCAAAACCCCCCAAATCCTCACCTGGCATTGACGATGTAGCTGAGGTCGGGGGGCAGGGCCCCGTTGTGGGGGTGACCCCAGGACCCCCCAAAGCCCCCCAGAGCCCCCCAAATCCTCACCTGGCATTGACGATGTAGCTGAGGTCGGGGGGCAGGGCCCCGTTGTTGGCCGCCCGCGCAGCCTCGGGGTTGGGGTAGGGCTTGGGGAAATGATCCGAGATCTTCCCGGGACGCATGAACATCTCCCCGTTCTCATCGGGGCCGTCCTGAACCTCCACCTGCACAGGTGAGACATGGACAGGTGAGACACAGACAGGTGAGACACAGGGACAGGTGACACACAGGGACAGCAGGGACAGGGACAGCAGGGCCCCCATAAACATCTCCCCATTCTCATCGGGGCTGTCCTGAACCTCCACCTGTGACAGGTGACACACAGGGACAGGTGAGAGACTGGGACAGGTGACACACAGGGACAGGTGACACACAGGGACAGCAGGGACAGG